CTCTCTCTCTCTCTCTCTCTCTCTCTCTCTCTCTCTCTCTCTCTCTCTCTCTCTCTCCCTCTCTCCCTTCCTCCTATCTCTCTCTCTCTTCTCCTCCCTCCCTCCCTCCCTATTTCCCTCCCTCTCCCCCTCTCTCTCTCTCTCTCTCTCTCTCTCTCTCTCTCTCTCTCTCTCTTTCTCTCTCCCTCTCACCCTTCCTCCTATCTCTCTCTCTCTCTCTCCTCCCTCCCTCCCTCCCTCTCTTCCTCCCTCCTGCTAGCTATCGCGCGTCCGGCCGACCTACCAGGATGGGATTTGCATTCTTGCCCTCGAACCATTCCTCGGCCGTCAATGCCGGCACGTCGCCGGCCGTGTTCGGGTACAGGTCCTCCTGGAAGAGCTCCGACTGAAACAAGAGAACGTACGCGCGAGATGAGCGACGGCGTGACGATGAAACAAGAGAACATGCCGCGGGACGGCATGGCAGGGCGTTAGATCGCTCGTTAGACAATCAAACTCGCTACAAACAACGGGCAAACGTGAAAGCTGTCGTCGTGTAGCTCATACGTAAATGTACGCCACGCGTAGCGTGAACGTACCGCTGTGTGTTGTCCCTTCGTGCAGACCTCTCCCTCCCCTCCTCCCAAACCTTCTCCCTTCCCCAACCTCCTCCTTGTTGTCTCTCCTGGTCACAAAGGAAGAAGGGTCCTACCTCGTCCACTATCGTGTAGATGGGTTCACACAGTCTCTTCGTGTAAACCTCTACCTCCCCTCCTTCTCCCTACCTTCTCCCTCCCCCTCCTTCTCCCCACCTTCTCCCTCCCCCCTCCTCACAAGGGAAGGAGAGAGCAGCAGAGGAGACTCACCTTTCTTGGCACGGTCATGGAGATGGGTTCGCACAGTCCCTTCGTGTACACCTTGAAGAAGCGAGCGATCTCGTTCGTGTTGACGTCGCAGCCCCGCTTCGGCATAAAGCCCATGCCGCGCTGCGGGTCCGTCGACTGATAGACGTTGATGAAGTGAACGTACGGATACTCGTCCGTTATCTCAAAGTAGCGGATCGTGCAGTCCCCCTGGTGGACGACGAAGACGACGACGACGCGTTAGTGCGTGACGGACGACGCGCGCTTGCTGTATCATTTATTTATTCATTTATTTATTTATTTAATGTAAAAATATTCTAATACGAAAGAATTAGGAAGACGAAATAAATGTTTTGAGATAGATGCCAATATTTCGATTTTATATTAATCAATGTATATATATCAGCGTGAGAAACTAGCGGTCGCCCAGTCGCCAGTGGCGATTAGAAAATTGACCGGGCGACTGCTTGCTCGTGTCAGCTGGTCCGGCGGGGCGACTAGATAATCGCCGCACACTCAACGCATCAACGTATGATTCGCCACACATACAAAAACT